CACAGCCACGGACCTTGTGCCACAGAGTGCAGCAGTTGCTGAGTAGCGCAGAGCAGCGCAGCGTGGCACAAAGAACGTCCGCTGCTCTTGGCACAAGCATGGTACTGGGCCCACTCTCTGTCGTGGCATCAGTCAGAGCGAGCCAACAGCCGCACCACTGCCCTGTGCACCCTGCTCTCACTGCTGCTCCCACTGCTGCTGCTGCTACCAGCATCAGCAGCAGCAGGGCAGAGCGTGACCTGAAGCAGAATGTGGGCTCCGCCCTGCTGCTTGCCCACTGCTGGGTGGGGCGTCTGCAGCTGCTGTGCAATGGCTGGTGGTGGTGGGATTGGGGAGGGGGGTGTGTAGTGGGGAGGGGGGTAGGATGGATGGACACATGCAGTGGGTTAAGCAGGATATGCAGCAAAGGTCAGGAAGCAGAGGGTGACAGCAGCTTGCTGTGATAGAATGGGCACTCATGATCACCTTAGCAGTCTAATATTACAAGAGGACTTGTGAATCGGTCCAAAAGTGACGCCGATATGAAACGGAGGGTGAGGGTGTGAATGGTGGGGAAAGGAGAGGGAGGAGAGAATGCGACCTAAGGGAGGAGAGAATGCGACCTAAGGGAGGAGAGAATGCGACCTAAGGGAGGAGAGAATGCGACCTAAGGGAGGAGAGAATGCGACCTAAGGGAGGAGAGAATGCGACCTAAGGGAGGAGAGAATGCGACCTAAGGGAGGAGAGAATGCGACCTAAGGGAGGAGAGAATGCGACCTAAGGGAGGAGAGAATGCGACCTAAGGGAGGAGAGAATGCGACCTAAGGGAGGAGAGAATGCGACCTAAGGGAGGAGAGAATGCGACCTAAGGGAGGAGAGAATGCGACCTAAGGGAGGAGAGAATGCGACCTAAGGGAGGAGAGAATGCGACCGAAGGGAGGAGAGAATGCGACCGAAGGGAGGAGAGAATGCGACCGAAGGGAGGAGAGAACGCGACCCAAGGGAGGAGAGAACGCGACCTAAGGGAGGAGAGAACGCGACCTAAGGGAGGAGAGAACGCGACCTAAGGGAGGAGAGAATGCGACCTAAGGGAGGAGAGAATGCGACCTAAGGGAGGAGAGAATGCGACCTAAGGGAGGAGAGAATGCGACCTAAGGGAGGAGAGAATGCGACCTGAGGGAGGAGAGAACGCGACCTGAGGGAGGAGAGAACGCGACCTGAGGGAGGAGAGAACGCGACCTAAGGGAGGAGAGAATGCGACCTAAGGGAGGAGAGAATGCGACCTAAGGGAGGAGAGAATGCGACCTAAGGGAGGAGAGAATGCGACCTAAGGGAGGAGAGAATGCGACCTAAGGGAGGAGAGAATGCGACCTAAGGGAGGAGAGAATGCGACCTAAGGGAGGAGAGAATGCGACCTAAGGGAGGAGAGAATGCGACCTAAGGGAGGAGAGAACGCGACCTATGAAAGGAAAGGGGAGTTCTCATGCTTGTCACCCCCCCCCCCCCCCCCCCTGCCCCCCACCCACACGAGCTGCCCTACCTTCCACGTCAACGTCTGCTGTGACTGGCTGGTCCCCGATGCGAGCGAACAAATCAGCAACTGACAGCTGGCCAAGGGGTGGGCACACTGCCACAGGCGCCGTTGCTGATGTGGCTGCTTCCTCTGATTGGCTGGCAAGGTCCGTTGCTGACGTGGCGGGAGCAGCAGCCATGAGGGCGGCAGTGAGGGGGTTGATGCCGAAGATGGCACAGGCAGCAGCATCCATGCATGTGATGCGCCCCCTGCCGTCCACCTCTATGCGCCCGTCCTGTGGGCTCGCATGTGCAAAGGGACACCCGGACAAATGAGCATATGGGCATGCACACATGAACACATGGGCACACGCACACGGGCATGGATGGCTAATGTTTTCTCTGCCTCTCACGCATGCTTGCACATGCATTTTCACAAAGGTCCACAGCTATGCTACCAGACACTCCGCTGAGCAAGTGAGAAAGTCCCAATGCCCAGCACAGAACCCTCACCTTCCTCCCCCTTCTCCCCTCTCTCTCCCCAGCCTCTCCTGCTCTTCCCACCTTCTCTACGCACGCACCTGTGCAAGGCTGACCACTCGTTTCCGCAGGTCCCTGCCACCGTCGTTGCGCCAGTGCAGGCAGAAGAGCAGCGAGGCGATGAGCGACAGCAGCGGCTGCACGGCGCGCAGCAGCCCGTGGCTGTACCCGCCTATGCGATTCGCCACCACCGCCACGCCCACTATGGCCGTGCCTGGGAATAAGAGGGACAGCAAGGACAGCAGGGGCGGTGGATGATGGTGGGCATGGTTTAGTCAAGGGCATGGATGGCTGCACGGCGTGCAGCAGCCCCAGGCTGTACCCGCCTATGCGATTCGCCACCACCGCCACGCCCACGATGGCCGTGCCTGGGTGGGAGCAGCAGGGCCAGCAGGAGCAGCAGGCCAGGCCAGGGGGTGGAGAAGGGTGGGGTTGGGTTGAAGGGTGAGAAGACGTACACGAAACAGTGAGCATGCATCATGCACACATTGGGGCAGGGGGGGGGGGCTTCAGAAGGAGGAAGTTTGAAGCAAGCAAGCAGTGCGCCAGAGTGGGAGAGGGAGAGAGTGGGCAGTGGGAAGCAAGCAGGCCACTTACCGCAGATGAGAGGTATAGAGAATGCAGTGTTGACACGTGGATGCCCCTTGGGCAGGCTGCCAGCTGGCGGGTCGTCGCTCCACACTGCCTCGCCCCTCAACGACGCCCGGCCGAAGAGGCCTGTTTCGGACACATCTGTGAAGACAAGACCGGCTGCCGAGTGGTCGGCAAACCATGTCCTAAGCTTGTCGGTCCAGAGAATGTTCGTTATGGCATGGGTCTGCGACAGCGAGCAAGTCGGAAGCAGAGAGGACAAGGAACAGACAGGTGAGCAGCGTGGGGGTTGAAGGAATGAGTTGAGGGAGCCGGAAGACTTTTGAGGCGCCTCAAACGGCGACTATTGAGGCGCCTCAAACGGCGTGGGGGTTGAAGGAATGAGTTGAGGGAGCGGGAAGAGAGCATTGGGTCTAGAAAAAATGACCTGGATCATGCTTTAAGCCATGGTGCAAGCTGGACACCTTATGAGGGAGGAACGCATGAACACACAGCACACATTCTTACCACACAGCACACATTCTTACCACACAGCACACATTCTTACCACACAGCACACATCACTGAGCACACACACCTTGAGGCAGGGGTCGCCATGGGGCATGCGGAAGTTGGAAGCGATGAAGCCAAAGGTGGACTCGCAGATGTCTAATAGCGCGTCTAGCAGCACCGAGCAGCTCTCACTCGCGTTCTCACTCTGCCACACACACACACGGGAGGGGGGGGGGGAAAACAAGGATGAAGCCGGAGGTGGACTCGCAGATGTCCAGCAGCGCGTCTAGCGGCACGCCACAGCTCTCACTCGCGTTCTCACTCTGGCACACACACACACGGGAGGGGGGGGGGGGAAGGGGGTGGGGAAAACAAGGATGAAGCCGAAGGTGGACTCGCAGATGTCCAGCAGCGCGTCTAGTGGCACGCCACAGCTCTCACTCCCGTTCTCACTCTGCCATACGCACGGGGGGAGGGGAGGGGGTGGAGTTGCAGATGCCCAGCTTGCATCTAGTAGCACTCTGCAGCTCTCACTCGCGGTTGAGCTCTTTTGAGGTGCCTCAAAAGTCCTCTCACTCGCGTTTGAGCTCTGGCACATGGAGGGGATAAGGGCTTGGGAAGGAAGAGGATAAGGGCTTGGGAAGGAAGTGGATAAGGGCTTGGGAAGGAAGAGGGTAAGGGCTTGGGAAGGAAGAGGGTAAGGGCTTGGGAAGGAAGAGGATAAGGGCTTGGGAAGGAAGAGGGTAAGGGCTTGGGAAGGAAGAGGATAAGGGCTTGGAAAGGAAGAGGATAAGGGCTTGGGAAGGAAGAGGATAAGGGCTTGGGAAGGAAGAGGATAAGGGCTTGGGAAGGAAGAGGATAAGGGCTTGGGAAGGAAGAGGATAAGGGCTTGGGAAGGAAGAGGATAAGGGTTTGGGAAGGAAGAGGATAAGGGCTTGGGAAGGAAGAGGATAAGGGCTTGGGAAGGAAGAGGATAAGGGCTTGGGAAGGAAGAGGATAAGGGTTTGGGAAGGAAGAGGGTAAGGGCTTGGGAAGGAAGAGGATAAGGGCTTTGGAAGGAAGAGGATAAGGGCTTGGGAAGGAAGAGGATAAGGGCTTGGGAAGGAAGAGGATAAGGGCTTGGGAAGGAAGAGGATAAGGGCTTGGGAAGGAAGAGGATAAGGGCTTGGGAAGGAAGAGGATAAGGGCTTGGGAAGGAAGAGGATAAGGGTTTGGGAAGGAAGAGGGTAAGGGCTTGGGAAGGAAGAGGATAAGGGCTTTGGAAGGAAGAGGATAAGGGCTTGGGAAGGAAGAGGATAAGGGCTTGGGAAGGAAGAGGATAAGGGCTCGGGAAGGAAGAGGATAAGGGCTTGGGAAGGAAGAGGATAAGGGCTTGGGAAGGAAGAGGATAAGGGCTTGGGAAGGAAGAGGATAAGGGCTTGGGAAGGAAGAGGATAAGGGCTTGGGAAGGAAGAGGATAAGGGCTTGGGAAGGAAGAGGATAAGGGCTTTGGAAGGAAGAGGATAAGGGCTTAGAAAGGAAGAGGATAAGGGCTTGGGAAGGAAGAGGATAAGGGCTTGGGAAGGAAAAGGGTGAGAGATGAAGGCAAAAGGGTGGTTGTGGGTGATGAGCAGAGGTTTACCTTACAGTGCACCGTGGGGCGGGCGTCACCTTATCCTGTCTGAAAGCCATGAGTCCATCCTCTGTAGCCTCCACCAGCGCCTCATTATCTATCTCATCCTCTGCATACATATCATCATCATCGTTCTCCAACCTACGTTGCGGAAGACGCAAGACGCTTGGCTAAAAAAAATTCGGGCAGCCCGAAAAAAAATAATTCACGCGCGCGAAATACACATTCGCAATTTCGACGCGAAATTCAATTTCGCGTTTTTCAAACCCCTCCCCACCCATTTCGACCCCACAACCAGGCCCCCCAACAAATTTGAAGCCCCCCCCACCAAAATTGAACACATACCACTCTTCACCACTCACTATCTACAAAACCCAACCTTTATGGTAAACCACCAAGAGGTTGGGGAGCACAAATCCCTCATTTGTGCTCCCCAACCTTCATTTCTCTCAATTCTCTTTCGAAAACCCTTAGGGTTTAGCTCTTTCCACCGCGCAAGCAACCATGGCTTCTTCTAGTGGTAGTAGATCTTCGTCTAGTAGTTCCTCCTCGGCGAGCGAGAATGCCGTCGGCGAGGGTTCTTCCGCTCATGTTTCCACGGAAATGGAGGGGGTCGAGAAGAAATCTAAGTTTTGAGGTCTAAGAATGGGGGAAAAAATGTGGTGTGGGGAAAAATACACCCCATTGTGACATAGGTGCATGTTCCCCACCCTCACCATGCCCCTTAGAACTTTTTTTGGTCTGCCCGAACTTTTTTTAGGCCTGCCCGGGTTTTCGTCTAGCACTGCGTCTAATCCGGCCTATCTAGCGTCTAGCGTCTTAGACGCTGCGTCTAGACGGACGCGTCTAAGACGCTAGACGCGTCTTCCGCAACATAGTCTCCAACCCAACCACCCCCGCACCCCATCCGACCCCCTGTCCTCTCACCTTATCCTGTCTGAAGGCCAAGAGCCCATCCTCTAAGGCGGCCACCAGAGCCTCGTTATCAATCTCATCCTCTGCATACACATCATCCTCCTCCTCCTCCTCCCCTTTCCCCCACCCTCCATGCGACCTCCTGTCCTCTCACCTTGTCTTGTCTGAAGGCCAAGAGCCCATCCTCTAAGGCGGCCACCAGAGCCTCGTTATCAATCTCATCCTCTGCATACACATCATCATCGTCCTCCTCCTCTCCCCACCCTCCATCCGACCCCCTGTCCTCGCCTCCCTCCTCTCCTTCCTCCTCCCCTCCTCCCTTCCTCTCCCTCCTTTGCGCCACCTGAAACGCAACCACCTCCCCAAGCTCCCGCCCAGGACAAATCCCGAGCCTGGACGGGCGGATAGGTGGAAACATAGCTGGCAACGTGCCACACGCAAGAGGTTCGGCACAGCCGTATCTATACCCTAACCCTAATTCTTCCAAGCCTGTACTTAAGTTAGTTTCTGAAGGAGGTTCGGAGGGAGTTAGAAGCAGGCTGGATCGAGGCTTGGAACCCAAGCCCCATGCCGAACCTAACCCTGCTTTCGCCCTAATTGTGGCCCGGAATCCATCCACTCGCACTCCCTCAATTTCTGACTCAGCTCCTTCGTCCTGTGACTCATCATCCCTGTCATCATCCACAGAGTCCACGTCAGCATCTCTCCCTGCCTGATCCTCCTCCTCTCTGTTCCCAGCTAAATACGTGTAAGTGTTAGCTTCCGTGCCTGCAGGTATGGCAGCGCCCAAACCAGAGGCAGCAGGCTCGGCAAAGGCAGTGTTGGGAGCAGCTGGTGGCGCAGCAGCCGAAGCAGGGAGGGTGCTAGGCCCAGGCTGCAACGCCTGTAGCAGACTTGGTTGCAACAAACTCGGTTGCAGCAGGCTCGGTTGTAGCAGACTTGGCTGCAGCTGATTTGGCTGGAGTAAGTTGGGCTGCAGTAAGCTGGGCTGTAACGGGCTGGGCTGAAGCACGCCTGGCTGCTGCTGCAGCATGAGTGCAGCCATAAGCTCACTCGGTGCCAGGCGCAGCAGACTACCACCACTATCACCCCCTCCCACCATCCCTGCTGCTGTTCCTCCTGCTGCTGCTGCTCCGCCCGACCATGCAGAGGGCGCAGCAGCGAACGCCCCACGAGGCTGTGACCCGAAGGGACTGCCGCCGGCGTCAGAGAGCGCTCCTGAGAAATTGCCCGAGTGGCTGCTAGAGAGCGTTGAGAGCGCGTGGGGGGAGAAGGGCGGCACACCGTACCCCGACCCACCGCCACCCGCAGTACCAGAACCAGCAGCAGCAGCACCACCACCACCACCACCACCACCACCAGGGCCTAAACTCCCAGGAGAAGCAGCCGCCCCAGCAGCAGGCGCGAGGCCGTGGATCAACCCGCTTCCGCCGGCCTGCCAGCTGTCGATGCTGCTGTCGGACGGCATGGCGCGGTGGTGGTAACCGCCGTAACCCGGCCCGCCCGGGTCGCTGAGCGTGCCGCTGTACTGGCCGCCGAAGGAGGGGACGGGCAGAGAGGCGGAGGGGGGCAGGCCCACGTATGATGAGGCTGACACCCCGCTGAACGTCCGCTGTCCGAGTAACGAACTCCCTCCTCCTGCGCCTTCTGCCCCTCCTCCTCCTCCGCCGCCGCCGCTGCCTTTGCTGCTTCCTGATTGGCCAGCCGCTCTGCCTGGCGTGGCAGGGAGGGATCCTGTGGCGTGTGATTGGATGGGTTTGGACGGGGACGGCGTGGATGCGGCTGACGTGGCACTGCCGCCGCCGCCCGGCTTCACCTCGAACCGCCACAGCACCTTATCCGTCACTTGACCCCTGCCCCCTCCCCCTCCGCTTCCTCCGCCTCGTCCCCCTGCCGTTCCGCGTCCACCTCCGCCTCCTCCGCTTCTGCTGCTGGACACGCCCCCGCTGGCGGAACGCTGGTGCGAGCCTTTTTGCGCGCCGGCCTGCGCGCCGGCCTGTGCGCCCGCGTGCTTGCGCAGCAGCGCGCGCGCCTGTCTCTGCTGCATGCGCTGCTCCTTCTGCGCTGCGCGCAGCTCCTTCTGCGACACCTGCCGCAGCTGCTGCGCTTGATTCGAAGCTTGGCCGCCATTATCGCGTGGGCTTGTATCGGGACGCGGCCCTCTGTCGCCTTCTCTTTGCGCCCCTACAGCGGAAGTCAGTCCCCCAATCACCCGTTCCGCCAACCCTGCGCCGTTCCCCACCCTTCCCCCGGGTACAGCCCCTGCGGCTCCGCTCCGCCACGGGCTCCGCCCTCCTTCCGCCGACCCGCCACTTCTTGGTCTTTCCCCTCCGCCCAAACCGCCGCTGACAACGTCTCCCGCCGAAGCTCCTCCCCCGCAACTGTCCCGCCTATTCTCCGCCATGGCGGAAGCAACTGCTGCGCTAGAGCTTTCGACTCTGTAAGACGCCGCGCGCGGAACCCCTCTTTCTCCGCCGCCTTTCCCATCGCCTTTCCCGGCGGCGGGTTTCTCGGAGCTCGCGGATCGCGGTACAATCACAGAATCGGAACTATGCCGCGACTTTTCCGAGCCCTTCGATACATTCACATCGCTGCCCAATCGCAGCTCTTCGCTGTTCCCCGCGCTCGCGCTACGATGCCGGGATCGAGCCCCCCATTTCCCGCCTGGCGACGCCGCCGCCTTCCCCTCATTTGATTTCTGATCCGCTGCTCCGCCCGTGCCCGATACTGCGCTGCTCGACACCCCGCTACTTCCGCCAGCGGGCTGCGTCGCGCTGCTCTCGCGTTTATCGCCTGCGTCACTACTACTCTTGTCGCTTCTGCCGGCCTTACGCTTATCCGAGCTTCCCCGTCGGCGGCCGGCGCCGCTTTGCGGGTTGGGCCCCGCGAGTCTGCCTAGCAAGCGCGGCGCCGACGCGGCGTTTTGGCGATCCGTGGAGTGCTGGGGGCCCATCGCTTTCTAAAAAGACTCGGGTGCTTCAAGTGCTTTACCTTGACGCGTGCGATGGCGCGATATGTTGCTCCGATCTGATCAGCGCGCTTGACATGGCCAATTGGAGGTGTTTCACGTAACAAACAGAGACAATCCCTAGGGCAGGCTTCAGAAGTTGGAAGCTACAACTGAGGGAATGGTAGTACCCCCTTTGAGTGTGTGGTCACAGTGGTGTTCCGTTTTGAGTAGATACTTGTTGTACGCCAATGTGAAAGCTGGCAGTCAGTCGTGCACTACATTCTTTAATGGGAAAATATGCCACAAGTAACAATCATGTGACCCCGTAGCGTCAATGGTAAAAAAAAAATGCGTACGGTAACTGTATCGGGTATCGTGACGGGCTTGGTAAGTGGGGTCACGGAATCAGTCACTAGCAACAGCTAAAGAATCACGCGAATGGTAACACATGAAACTCCCGCCTGAAATTCCTGAAACCAGGCCGATTTCCCGCTCGCGCCAAACCGTGCGGAGAGAGGTTTGATGCACGCCTGTACCGTCGAGCCTCCAGCCCACCGTAACCAAACCACGACCCTACATGCTGTACACCCCCCTGCCCGCTACGGTTCCAACCAAGCACAGAAGCTTGACCCCAGCGGAACTCACTCACTTCCCGCCATCAGCTATTACTCACGCGATTACTAGTAGCTATAGCTTTCGCCAGCTGCCTTCCCCGTCACTCATCCTGGGCATTCGTTAGCAGCACCTGACGTCTATCAACGGTGCGTGCCTTAGCCCAAAAGCCTTTTCCCATCCGTTCACGTTTAGTCCCTTGTTACTCGATAAATACTAATAATTTACATTACAAAAAAAAAAAAACACAAAAAAACTCGATCAGACCGCTGTCGCGATGCGCCCAGCGGCTGGCGCGCCGCTCCGCGCATCGCGCCTATCGGGCCCGGTCGTCGCGCGATGCAGTGCGGCCACCTCGCCGCTCGACGCATCGAGACGATCAAAAGCAGCCGCCGCCGCGATGCGCATTGCGGCCAGCGTTTGGCCGCTCCGCGCATCGCGCCGACCGGGCCGCCGCCGTCGCAATGCGCAATGCGGCCAGCTTTTGGCCGCTCCGCGCATCGCGCCGACCAGGCCGCCGCCGTCGCGATGTGCAATGCGGCCACACTGCTGGGCGCATCATGACGATCCGCCAAGCCAAAAGCCCGCCGCTCAGTGCGTCGCGCCTCTCTGTCCACCGCCGAGACCAGTGTGCCCATGCACTCTCGTCTAGCCTCCCCTCTCGTGCTCCCTTGTCTCCTACCCATCTTTCTCTCGTGCTCCCTCGCATGCCGTGTTATCCCCGGCCAAAGCCTCGATTATGGCAATTCCCTCTCTCGTGCCAGGCCACTCATTCCCTCTCCATCCCTCTCGCACACCCCCTCTCATACACACTCATCCCCTCTCCATCCCTCTCGCACACCCCCTCTCATACACACTCATCCCCTCTCCATCCCTCTCGCACACCCCCTCTCATACACACTCATCCCCTCTCCATCCCTCTCGCACACCCCCTCTCATACACACTCATCCCCTCTCCATCCCTCTCGCACACCCCCTCTCATACACACTCATCCCCTCTCCATCCCTCTCGCACACCCCCTCTCATACGCACTCATCCCCTCTCCATCCCTCTCGCACACCCCCTCTCATACACACTCATCCCCTCTCCATCCCTCTCGCACACCCCCTCTCATACACACTCATCCCCTCTCCATCCCTCTCGCACACCCCCTCTCATACACACTCATCCCCTCTCCATCTCTCTCGCACACCCCCTCTCATACACACTCATCCCCTCTCCATCCCTCTCGCACACCCCCTCTCATACACACTCATCCCCTCTCCATCCCTCTCGCACACCCCCTCTCATACACACTCATCCCCTCTCCATCCCTCTCGCACACCCCCTCTCATACACACTCATCCCCTCTCCATCCCTCTCGCACACCCCCTCTCATACACACTCATCCCCTCTCCATCCCTCTCGCACACCCCCTCTCATACACACTCATCCCCTCTCCATCCCTCTCGCACACCCCCTCTCATACACACTCATCCCCTCTCCATCCCTCTCGCACACCCCCTCTCATACACACTCATCCCCTCTCCATCCCTCTCGCACACCCCCTCTCATACACACTCATCCCCTCTCCATCCCTCTCGCACACCCCCTCTCATACACACTCATCCCCTCTCCATCCCTCTCGCACACCCCCTCTCATACACACTCATCCCCTCTCCATCCCTCTCGCACACCCCCTCTCATACACACTCATCCCCTTTCCATCCCTCTCGCACATCCCCTCTCATACACACTCATCCCCTCTCCATCCCTCTCGCACACCCCCTCTCATACACTCTCATCCCCTCTCCATCCCTCTCGCACACCCCCTCTCATACACACTCATCCCCTCTCCATCCCTCTCGCACACCCCCTCTCATACACACTCATTCCCTCTCTTTCATCCCCTCTCATCCCCTCTCATCCCCTCTCATCCCCTCTCATCCCCTCACATACACTCTTATACACTCTCATACACTCGCATTCACTCTCATACGCTCTCATCCCCTCTCATCCCCTCTCATCCCATGTCACTCCCTCTAATCCACTCTCATACCCTCTCGTACCCACTCATATACACTCATATACACTCTCATCCCCTCTTATAGACTCCCATACACACTCATACACTCTCATGCACTCTCATTCACACTCATCCCCTCGAATCCCCTCTCATCCCCTCTCATCCCCTCTCATCCCCTCTCATCCCCTCTCATCCCCTCTCATATACTCTCACACACTCTCATACACTCTCTTACACACTCTCATCCCTCTTCATCCACTCTCATACACTCTCATCTCCTCTCATACACACTCATACCTCCTAATCCGCTCTCATCCACTCTCATACACTTCCATACACTCTCATTCACACTTATCCCCTCTTATCCCCTCACATCCCCTCTCATCCCCTCTTATGTCCTCTCATCACTCTCATTCCTTCTCAATCCCTCTCATTCCTATTCATTCCCTCTCATTCCTTTTCATTCTCTCTCATTCCCTCACATCCGCTCTCATTCCCTCTCATCATCTCTCATTCCCTCTCATTCCCTCTCATTCACTTTCATCCTCTTTCAGCCCCACTCTTTCCCTCTCATCCACTCTCATACACTCTCAACGCCTCTCATCCAATCTCACACACTATTATTCCCTCTCATCCCCTCTCATCCCCTCTCATACCCTCTTATCCACTCTCATTCACTCTCATTCACTCTCATACCCTCCCATCCACTATCATATACACTCTCGTCCACTCTCATCCCCTCTCATTCACTTTGATCGCCTTTCATCCCCTCTCATTCCCCCTCATAACCTATCATATACACTCTCATCCCTCCACATACTCTCTTACTCATTCCGTCTCATCCCCTCTCATCCCCTCTTAAACACTATCATACACTCTCATACCCTTCCATCCACTATCAGATACACTCTCATCCCCTCTCATACTCTCCCATACCCACTCATCCAGTCTCATCCCTCCTCATACACTCTCATACACTCTCATCCCCTCTCATCCCCTCTCATCCCCTCGTATGCACTCTCATACTCTCTCATTCACTCTCATACCCTCCCATCCACTATAATATATTCTCTCATCCCCTCTCATACTCTCCCATACACATTCATCCAGTCTCATCCCTCCTCATAAACTCTCAAACACTCTCATCCCCTCTCTTACACTCTCACACCCTATCATCCCCTCTCATCCCCTCTTATACACTCTCATTCACTCTCATACCCTCCCATCCACTATCATGCACACTCTCATTCACTCTCGTTCCCTTTCATCCCCTCTCATCCCCTCTCATCCCCTCTCATCCCCTCTCATCCCCTCTCATCCCCTCTCAACCCCTCTCATTCACTCTCATACACTCTCTTACACACTCCCATCCCTCCTCAGCCACTCTCATACACTCTTATACACTTTTATTCACTCTCATCCCCACTCATCCACTATCGTATACCCTCTCATCCCCTCATCCCCTTTCATCCCCTCTCATACACTCTGAAGCACTCTCATCCCTTCTCAACCCGTCTCATCCATTCTCATCCCCTCTCAACCCCTCTCATTCACTCTCATACACTCTCATCCCCTCGCATACACTCTCATAGACTCTCAACCACTCTCATTCACTCTCCTACACTCTCGTACACTCTCATCCCCTCTCATCCACCCTCATACACTCGATGAGACTCTCATACCCTCTCATACCCTCTCATACCCTCCCATACAGTATCATATCCACTCTCACTCCCTCTTACACACTCTCATACAGTCTCATCCCCCCTCATCCTATCTCACACACTCTCATTCCCTCTCATTTCCTCTCACACCCTCTCATCACTTATCGTCTCATCCCCTCTCATCCCCTCTCATCATATCCACTCTCACTCCCTCTCACACACTCTCATACAGTCTCATCCCCTCTCATCCTATCTCACACACTCTCATCCCTTCTCATTTCCTCTCATACCCTCTCATCCACTCTCATACACTCACTTACACACTCTCATCCCTCTCATTCCCTCTCATACACTCTCAGCCCCTCTCATCCTCTCTCATACACTCTTATACACTTTTATTCACTGTCATCCCCTCCCATCCACTATCGTATACACTCGCATCCCCTCTCATACACACTCATACCCCCTAATCCCCTCTCATCCCCTCTTATTTGCTCTCATACACTCACTTACACACTCTCATCCCTCTCAGTCCCTCTCATACACTCTCAGCCCCTCTCATCCTCTCATACACTCTTATACACTTTTATTCACTGCCATCCACTCTCATCCCTTCGCAACCCCTCTCATCCACTCTCATCCCCTCTCAACCCCTCTCATTCACTCTCATACACTCTCATCCCCTCGCATACACTCTCATAGACTCTCAACCACTCTCATTCACTCTCCTTTCACTCTCATTCACTCTCATCCCCTCACAACCACCCTCATACACTCAATGACACTCTCATACCCTCTCATACCCTCCCATACACTATCATGTCCACTCTCACTCCCTCTCACACACTCTCATATAGTCTTATCCCCTCTCATCCTATCTCACACACTCTCATTCCCTCTCATTTCCTCTCATACCCTCTCATCCCTTCTCGTTCCCTCTCATCCCCTCTCATCCCCTCCCATCCCCTCTCATACACTCTCATACACTTACTTACACACTCTCATCCCTCTCATTCCCTCTCATACACTCTCAGCCCCTCTCATCCTCTCTCATACACTCGTATACACTTTTATTCATGGTCACCCCCTCCCATCCACTATCGTATACACTCTCATCCCCTCTCATACTCACTCATACCCCCTAATCCCCTCTCATCCACCCTCATACACTTCCATACACTCTCATACACACACATTCCCTCTCATTCCCTCTTCTCCCTCATATGCTCTCATCCACTCTTATTTACACTCATCCACTCTCACACACTCTCATACACTCTCATCCCCTCTCATGCACTCTCATACACTCTTGTACACTCTCATCCCCTCTCATACGCTCTCATACACTGTTCCCCATCTCCTCCCATCATCAACCCGTCCCCTTTGCAGCCCTCTATTTCACACAAAAATTTAGTTAGATGTGACATTCTCTCTTGTCTCCTCATCATGCCCCTAACTCTTGTTTGGCCCTTAAATTTCCCCCTTACAATTTCTCTCACACACAATACTACACTTTATACACCCTGCATGGTCTTATTGTCCAACAGAGCTTGTGGCGGTCGTGAGGAACAACATGTTTCGCCTCATACGTTCAAGGTGGGAGGTTGATGTAGAATACCGATGTTAACCATCAAACAAGCTGAAGTGCATTGTTAATATCAACCATCATTCATTTCCAATCAAGAATTTTTCACGTTAACTTGCAAACTTCCATGTGGTACCCCCCCAACTGTTATCTTTTGGTCTTTTAGCAATTTTGATGTGCAGGAAGATGATGCTGTCAACATTTACAAGGGGAAGCTCTACCCAACTGCTGTAGCAGCAAGGGAGGAGGTGCGGTTGTACTGTAGGCAGCAGACGTTTGCTCCCTATTTCCGCTATAATCGGTCGAATCTCATTGAGGTGTGGTGCAAGTCCATGGAGGGCAAGGTATGGCCTCGTGGGGAGGTGCACAGCGGAGAAGGGATGTGTCCATTTCGTGTTGTCATACGGGGACCGCGCTATAGTAACCTGCGGGTCACGGTGGCTAGTTTGGATCACGCCGATATGTGTGTCACCGAGGCTGCAAGGATTCGGAGGGATGAGGTCAAAGAGGTTGCGCGTGAGATGCTAAAGCATGGCGACGTGAGACCTCATGCGTTGATCAGTCGTGTTAGGGCGGTTTTACGTGTCGAGTGCTCGTACACGGTTGCGCGCGAGGTGCTTTTTGAGCTAAGGAATGCGGATCCGTTTTGTGGAGACGATGGGTTTCAATACATGGAGGACCTGTTAGATAAGTTCAAGGATGATAATCCTTCATCTGTCGTGTCCATGGTCAGACGGGGAAATAACTTCTACCGTGCGGGAATTATTTTTCCAGGGGCGAGAGATGCGGTCATGAACTGCCTGCCGATCATTTTCGTGGATGGATGTCATAATAAGACCGCATGGGGGGGATACACTTTGAACATATGCATGTTGGATAGCCAACACAAACTTGTTATGTTGGGATGCGCATGGGTGGAGGGTGAAAACAAGCATGCATGTGCCTTCTTATTCAATCTCCTGTTGGAAGCCGTTCTGGAGGTGAACTCCTCTAACTATGTTATGATGCATGATAGGGGAGGGGCATGGATATCCGCCACATCCACTTGTCTCCCCCTCATACGGGAGTCCTTTTGCATCACCCATTTGGTTCGAAACTTCAAAAATAAGTTCAGGACAGATCTGGACGGACGAATTCTTGCAGCAGCAGCAGCCTTGACACCGCATGTGTATCTCAAGACAATGGAAAAGATTGAGATGGAATGTCCCGGTGGATCCTCCTACCTTGTCGACAATGGATTGGGTGTTAAGTGGGCGACAACTTATTTTGGAGCACCGCGTTACGGATGCTTGTCTTCTAACCCCGTTGAGTCTCATCATGCGTCGCTTTCGGGATTGCGGGATAAGAATCCGCCGCAGGTGCTGCTGGGCTTGGCGGAAAAGCTATCGACGAAGATCGAAAAGAGGCGCCGACTCTATTCCGAGATGACAGCCGCTGACTTCCCTCCTAGGACAAAGCCAATAGTCATTGGGAATCGCGATGAGAGCAGAAGATACAGGGTGGCTGAATCGGGAGAGAACGAGTACATAGTACGCGAAGGGGAGGAGAGGCGAGTCGTGACCATAAACCCCGAGGATCCTGCAGCCACCCACTGCTCATGTGGCTACACCAAGTAAGTGGTGGTTAGGTTCTGTTTCTACCATTGCTAGCATATGTTTCACTGGTATATATACTTGATCCAACTCAACCATGAATATTGCGCTAATTAGGTTTTTAAATATCATGCAAGATCAATCCTCATCATGCACCCACTCTAAATTTCAGCCCCTATTTATCCCAAAAATAGAGGAATTTGGGGACAATAAAGACTGCGTAACTTCCTGCTCATTTATCCCAACATTAGGGATATTCGGAGCGGCCAAAGGGCCATGCAATCCTTGTTCCTGCTGCAATTATTTTGTTTCCTACAACCTTATGCCAATTTATCCCAGCCTTGTACCCTCTCTCTCTTTTGTGCCCATGTGTCCAAGCAATAGGGGCATTCCCCGTGCGATATGGGGAACATGGCGATAGGCGATATCCTGTTTAAACATAAATTTCTAGTTGCCTACGACTCAAAGAACCTTCCCTATCCCTCTGACCATCTACCTTGCCCATGCAGGGTAATTAGGTCGACAAAGTGTCGTGTGTACATTTGCTTGCCGTAATCGTATTTGCTGAATGTGGGCTTCTTTATGCCATGTGTTCAAGTGTGTTAAGAAATGTTGCTGGTTTTAGCAATTCATACTCCCTCTTCTATTACCCCTTACGCAGGTCTTTACTTCCCCATACCCTTGGGTGGGCACAATTTCTCATATTTACTGGAAGTATGATAGTTTTAATCATGCGTTAATTCCTTTCTACCTCTTCTCACATTTATCCCAAAAACAGGGAATACGGGCTGCCATGCGTGCACATCTTCGCCGTGTTCAGAAACGATGGTCACAAGGCGCACGCAGTGATCCATAAATATCACACAACGGATGCACTGCAACAAGTGTACAGAACGCCGATTAGCTCCTGGACCCAACCTCTGTGGTCCCTGACGGCGTTACCCTCCCCCCGGTCTACAAGAAGAAGTCAGGTCGGCCACCAAAGCGAAGAATGCGGTCCACAGGAGAAATGGACCCAATCAAGTTGCGCAAGTGTGGAAAGTGCGGTGAGTACAGTCATAATGCCCGAACCTGCGAGGTCCGTGCAGCCAACAGAGTGTTGTGGGAGGCTTTGCAAACCCCCGCAGGGCAATTGTCAGTGCAAACAATGACGGACGCAGATGGTGCAGTCCATGTCGCCCTGTGCAACGCTTGCAACCGAACTCACCGCAGAGGGATTCGGTGTCAAGTCATGCGTAGACAAGGACAGCCGGGTGATGTGGAGGAGGAGTCGTGCAGCGATGATGATGGGAGTTTCGGTTTGGTGGAAGGGATTGGCGAAGAGGATGAGGAGGGACGTGATGATCGCGATACCGTGACATATGGTGGGGCGCTGATCGAGGTGTTTGGTAGGGATCCCGGAATTGCCGGTGATGTTGGTCTTGATGAACGCACAACCACGAACTCAGACTTGCCCACTCAAACAGAAAATTCCGGGGCAACACAGATAGACATCACACAAGAGAGTCAGGCGGGACGAGTGTCTGACAATTCGGTGGCCGAGCGGGTGGAAGGGCTGAGGACTGCGGAGGACGTGGTTGCAGTGCGTATAAGGCGGATGCAGGGATTACTCCTGCAGCGTGATGTGGCAAGACAGGCAAGAGAGGAACGTGCAACAACTGAAGGTAGGGGCAGAGGCAGGGGACGCCATGCAAGCACAGGGCAACGGGGAAGAGGGAGAGGGAGAGGGAGAGGCAGAGGCAGATATGGATCTCGGTCTTCCACGGAACAGCAGGGTGGAGCTGAACGGATGGAACAAAATGGTGGGAGCAGATTGGAAGGGATGGGAGGTCAGCAAGGGTTGAGAGGGCAGCAGGAAAGGGGAAGACAGCCGGGGTTGGGAGGGCAGCAGGGGATGGGAGGGCTGCAGGGGATGGCAAGGCAGCATGGGATGACACTGCAGCAAGGGGGGGAAGGACAGGCGGGTGTGGGGGGGCAGCATGGGATGGGAGGGCAGCAGGGAAGGGGAAGACAGCCGGGGTTGGGAGGGCAACAGGGCAGCGGAGGACAGGCGGGGTTGGGAGGGCAGCAGGGGATGGGAGGGCTGCAGGGGATGGCAAGGCAGCATGGGATGACACCACAGCAAGGGGGGGGAGGACAGGCGGGTGTGGGAGGGCAGCATGGGATGGGAGTGCAGCATGGGATGGGAGGGCAGCAGGGGATGGGAGGGCAGCAGGGGATGGGAGGGCAGCAGGGGATGACAGGGCAACCGGGGAGCGGAGGACAGTCGGTAATGCGAGGGCAGCAGGGGATGGGAGGGCAGCAGGGGATGGGAGGGCAGCAGGGGATGGGAGGGCTGCAGGGGATGACAGGGCAACCGGGGAGCGGAGGACAGTCGGTAATGCGAGGGCAGCAGGGGATGGGAGGGCTGCAGGGGATGGGAGGGCAGCATGGGATGGCCAGGCAGCACGGGATGACAGGGCAGCAGGGGAGCGGAGGACAGGCGGGGTTGGGAGGGCAGCAGGGACTGGGAGGGCAGCAGGGGATGGCCAGGCAGCACGGGATGACAGGGCAGCAGGGGAGCAGAGGACAGGCGGGGTTGGGAGGGCAGCAGGGACTGGGAGGGCAGCAGGGGATGGCCAGGCAGCACGGGATGAAAGGGCAGCAGGGGAGCGGAGGACAGGCGGGGTTGGGAGGGCAGCAGGGACTGGGAGGGCAGCAGGGGATGGCCAGGCAGCACGGGATGACAGGGCAGCAGGGGAGCGGAGGACAGGCGGGGTTGGGAGGGCAGCAGGGACTGGGAGGGCAGCAGGGGATGGCCAGGCAGCACGGGATGACAGGGCAGCAGGGGAGCGGAGGACAGGCGGGGTTGGGAGGGCAGCAGGGACTGGGAGGGCAGCAGGGGATGGCCAGGCAGCACGGGATGACAGGGCAGCAGGGGAGCGGAGGACAGGCGGGGTTGGGAGGGCAGCAGGGACTGGGAGGGCTGCAGGATACGAGAGGCCAACTTGGGTCCCAGGAAGCGTTACAAGGGCATAATGGGTACGTTCAAGCCCTTAACCAACGATGGGGACGCGTGGGAATGCCAATGCACGGGAATGTTGCAGGCCTGGCGCATTGTTGGAGCCATGTGGGCATGCCATTGCAACAGGAGGTTGAGGGGTCGGTGCCTGGTATGCACACCAGGACGCCACGCCAACAGGGGGACGAGAACAGTAACAGCTCTGTGCAGTAGAACTTGTGGGCTGTGCTGAATCTTTTACTCATGGTTACTTGATTGACTTCAAGAGCGCACTGCAACTGGTTTGACCGAATGTCCTTTTTTTTTTACCAACCGTGGCTCTGCACTGTCTCAAAAACACTCCCATGCAAGCGTATGGTACCAATATTCAACAGTTGTGTTAATCAGTATCATTTGCTCAACCTCTAGTTACTTATTTCTATTGATAGTGTTGTTGAGTGTGTCCATTTTTTACAGGACGTGAGGCATGAAGGTGAGCAAGGGAGTTGGTGAATGAAGTACCTACCCTTAATCACGGCTCTGGCTGACAAGGCGTGGCATGCACATACCTGTTGTGGCATATTGGAATGTTTTTAACAATACCACACAGTCTTACGGGCATGCCACTCCATCAGTAGGTTGCATATACTACACTTGGGACTATGAGTATGCATGGTTACCGTAGTACGGCAAGTTGACCTCAAGGGTCATGAGCGTTTTTCGTCAAGTTTGATCGTAGTCTGGCAGACCTACCCTCGTCCACTTTGTCTCGAATCATGCTTGGGCAAGCATACCGTACCTTCAGACCGCGGTAGTTTCATGTGTGTTAAACTGCTCAAAATTGTCTTGCCACCCGTACCATTACCTTAAGTGTTGTTCTGTTTCCATACAAGGACACCTTGTTATGGGGGTAGGAAGTGTGTGGCACAGTTGCACTTGCTAGCTTTATGACTTTCCTTCATCCCTGCAGGGGTTGACATGGTACATACGGTAATTGTGTTAATTAATATATGTATGTCCCATGGTCTTGTATGGAGCAGTTTTGCACATGTGCGATTGCTGAAAGCAAAGATGGTGTTTGATACGCATGTTTCAAATCCTTCACGAAAGTATGCAACGATGAAAGTAGTGAAAATGCATACAACGCCAGAAATATATCATGTGTTTTTTTAAATGATCAGATCAGCTAGGTGCCCCACGGAGTAGACACACATCTAACCGAAACCATGCTCGCAGAACTTTCCAACACTGAACCGTCCAAATTGACAAAAAAAAAAATTCCGCACCACGCTTATCGTCCCATATACCTCATCAACAACACCGTCTAACAAGCCACAGCCGCCCACACCAATTTACCCACCCTCTAACCGTCACTTCAGATAGCATTTATAGGTGTATGCACGGAGTCAGCTCCTGCCTTCTCATCTCCTTCTGCCATCCGTTCTCCAGCACCCTCGATATGTGTTTTGCAGCCTTGACCTTCGCAGTCCTCATCCCGCACCTCTCCTCGCCCACCGATATACCCAGCACTCTTGGTGGATCCGTCATCGTCATGGTAATTTACCGTCTCCCTTGTTATCACTCCGACTGCTTTCCTCCTAGCTCTCCTAGCACCAGACGTACATCGGACGTCATGCCTCAAACTAGCTAGCGAGACCTTCATGGTACCGCTATTGGACCCTTGTATGACAATGCGAAAGGGACATAGCGCATCTTTGCTGCCTACCTCTCCACCTTGCCAACTCAAATTCTGCATCGAGTCGCACCGTACATCGATAAGGTTTTTGCGACTATAATAGTAGAACTCCCGAATAAGATTTTGCCGACAATACAACCGAACATCCTCCCTTGCGTCTGCGGCAGATGGATAATCCTTCCCCTTGAATATGTTGCAAACGTGTTAGTCCTGCGGATTGACATAACTAGTACACCAAACAAAATAGAGTTCAAGCAACAACACATTGCAAATTGTTTGTGAGATGTGGCATAACAATGGAGCGTATGTAGCCTCGCAATGTAAACCACGAGATAGGATCTGCAAATGACAACCCTAAATCTATAGGCCAGACCTCACCTGGCTTGCAGTGGGTGAGACATGACGCTGATTACAAGTGCCACGAGCTTTGATGGATAATGAGCACGGGAGGATAACAGGGAATGCGAGGGGTTGATAGGAACGGGGAATCAAGACCAGAGAGATGATGAGTGGATGAGAGTGAATGGGCGTGGATCAAAAGGAATGAGAGTGTATGAGGGTGCACGAGAGGGACTGAGAGTGTGTGAGAGGGTATGAGGGGATGAGGTTGAATGAGAATGTATGAGGATGAGTGTGGATGAGAGTGGTTGAGAGGGGACGAGAGTGTGTGAGAAGGGATGAGAGTGTATCAGAGTGTCTTGGAGTGTGTGAGAGGAAATAAGAGGGGATGAGAGGGGATGAAAGTGAATGAGAGTGTATGAGAGTGTATAAGAGGGGATGAGAGGGGATGATAGGGGATGTGTGTGTATGAGAGTGTAAGAGAGGGGATGAGAGTGTTTGAGAGTTTATGAGGAGGGATGAGACTGGATGAATGTGTATGGGAGAGTATGAGAGGGGATGAGAGAATATATGATAGTGGATGGGAGGGTATGAGAGTGAATGAGAGAGTATGAGAGTGCATACGAGGGGATGAGAGGGGATGAGAGGGGATGAGAGTGTACGAGAGTGTATGAGGAGGGATGAGACTGGATGAGTGGGTTTGGGAGAGTATGAGAGGGGATGAGAGTGTATATGATAGTGGATGGAAGGGTATGAGAGTGTATGATAGTGTATAAGAGGGGATGAGAGGGGATGAGAGGGAATGAGAGTGAATGAGTAAGAGAGTGTATGTGGAGGGATGAGAGTGTATATGATAGGTTATGAGGGGGGATGAGAGGGGATGAAAGGCGATCAAAGTGAATGAGAGGGGATGAGAGTGGACAAGAGTGTATATGATAGTGGATGGGAGGGTATGAGAGTGAATGAGAGTGAATGAGAGTGGATAAGAGGGTATGAGAGGGGATGAGAGGGGATGAGAGGGAATAATAGTGTGTGAGATTGGATGAGAGGCGTTGAGAGTGTATGAGAGTGGATGAGAGGGAAAGAGTGGGGCTGAAAGAGGATGAAAGTGAATGAGAGGGAATGAGAGGGAATGAGAGATGATGAGAGGGAATGAGAGCGGATGTGAGGGAATGAGAGAGAATGAAAAGGAATGAGAGGGAATGAATAGGAATGAGAGGGATTGAGAAGGAATGAGAGTGATGAGAGGACATAAGAGGGGATGAGAGGGGATGTGAGGGGATAAGAGGGGATAAGTGTGAATGAGAGTGTATGGAAGTGTATGAGAGTGGATGAGAGCGGATTAGGAGGTATGAGTGTGTATGAGAGGAGATGAGAGTGTATGAGAGTGGATGAAGAGGGATGAGAGTGTGTAAGAGAGTGTATGAGAGTGTGTGAGAGTATATGAGAGGGGATGAGAGGGGATGAGAGGGGATGAGAGGGGATGAGAGGGGATGTGAGGGGATTCGAGGGGATGAGTGTGAATGAGAGTGCATGAGAGTGTATGAGTGTGTATGGGAGTCTATAAGAGGGGATGAGAGTGTATATGAGTGTATATGAGTGGGTACGAGAGGGTATGAGAGTGGATTAGAGGGAGTGACATGGGATGAGAGGGGATGAGAGGGGATGAGAGCGTATGAGAGTGAATGCGAGTGTATAAGAGTGTGTAAGAGTGTATGTGAGGGGATGAGAGGGGATGAGAGGGGATGAGAAGGGATGAGAGGGAAAGAGAGGGAATGAGTGTGTATGAGAGGGGGTGTGCGAGAGGGATGGAGAGGGGATGAGTGTGTATGAGAGGGGGTGTGCGAGAGGGATGGAGAGGGGATGAGTGTGTATGAGAGGGGGTGTGCGAGAGGGATGGAGAGGGGATGAGTGTGTATGAGAGGGGATGTGCGAGAGGGATGGAAAGGGGATGAGTGTGTATGAGAGGGGGTGTGCGAGAGGGATGGAGAGGGGATGAGTGTGTATGAGAGGGGGTGTGCGAGAGGGATGGAGAGGGGATGAGTGTGTATGAGAGGGGGTGTGCGAGAGGGATGGAGAGGGGATGAGTGTGTATGAGAGGGGGTGTGCGAGAGGGATGGAGAGGGGATGAGTGTGTATGAGAGGGGGTGTGCGAGAGGGATGGAGAGGGGATGAGTGTGTATGAGAGGGGGTGTGCGAGAGGGATGGAGAGGGGATGAGTGTGTATGAGAGGGGGTGTGCGAGAGGGATGGAAAGGGGATGAGTGTGTATGAGAGGGGGTGTGCGAGAGGGATGGAGAGGGGATGAGTGTGTATGAGAGGGGGTGTGCGAGAGGGATGGAGAGGGGATGAGTGTGTATGAGAGGGGGTGTGCGAGAGGGATGGAGAGGGGATGAGTGTGTATGAGAGGGGGTGTGCGAGAGGGATGGAGAGGGGATGAGTGTGTATGAGAGGGGGTGTGCGAGAGGGATGGAGAGGGGATGAGTGTGTATGAGAGGGGGTGTGCGAGAGGGATGGAGAGGGGATGAGTGTGTATGAGAGGGGGTGTGCGAGAGGGATGGAGAGGGGATGAGTGTGTATGAGAGGGGGTGTGCGAGAGGGATGGAGAGGGGATGAGTGTGTATGAGAGGGGGTGTGCGAGAGGGATGGAGAGGGGATGAGTGTGTATGAGAGGGGGTGTGCGAGAGGGATGGAGAGGGGATGAGTGTGTATGAGAGGGGGTGTGCGAGAGGGATGGAGAGGGGATGAGTGTGTATGAGAGGGGGTGTGCGAGAGGGATGGAGAGGGGATGAGTGTGTATGAGAGGGGGTGTGCGAGAGGGATGGAGAGGGGATGAGTGTGTATGAGAGGGGGTGTGCGAGAGGGATGGAAAGGGGATGAGTGTGTATGAGAGGGGGTGTGCGAGAGGGATGGAGAGGGGATGAGTGTGTATGAGAGGGGGTGTGCGAGAGGGATGGAGAGGGGATGAGTGTGTATGAGAGGGGGTGTGCGAGAGGGATGGAGAGGGGATGAGTGTGTATGAGAGGGGGTGTGCGAGAGGGATGGAGAGGGGATGAGTGTGTATGAGAGGGGGTGTGCGAGAGGGATGGAGAGGGGATGAGTGTGTATGAGAGGGGGTGTGCGAGAGGGATGGAGAGGGGATGAGTGTGTATGAGAGGGGGTGTGCGAGAGGGATGGAGAGGGGATGAGTGTGTATGAGAGGGGGTGTGCGAGAGGGATGGAGAGGGGATGAGTGTGTATGAGAGGGGGTGTGCGAGAGGGATGGAGAGGGGATGAGTGTGTATGAGAGGGGGTGTGCGAGAGGGATGGAGAGGGGATGAGTGTGTATGAGAGGAGGTGTGCGAGAGGGATGGAGAGGGGATGAGTGTGTATGAGAGGGGGTGTGCGAGAGGGATGGAGAGGGGATGAGTGTGTATGAGAGGGGGTGTGCGAGAGGGATGGAGAGGGGATGAGTGTGTATGAGAGGGGGTGTGCGAGAGGGATGGAGAGGGGATGAGTGTGTATGAGAGGGGGTGTGCGAGAGGGATGGAGAGGGGATGAGTGTGTATGAGAGGGGGTGTGCGAGAGGGATGGAGAGGGGATGAGTGTATATGAGAGGGGGTGTGCGAGAGGGATGGAGAGGGGATGAGTGTGTATGAGAGGGGGTGTGCGAGAGGGATGGAAAGGGGATGAGTGTGTATGAGAGGGGGTGTGCGAGAGGGATGGAGAGGGATGAGTGTGTATGAGAGGGGGTGTGCGAGAGGGATGGAGAGGGGATGAGTGTGTATGAGAGGGGGTGTGCGAGAGGGATGGAGAGGGAATGAGTGGCCTGGCACGAGAGAGGGAATTGCCATAATCGAGGCTTTGGCCGGGGATAACACGGCATGCGAGGGAGCACGAGAGAAAGATGGGTAGGAGACAAGGGAGCACGAGAGGGGAGGCTAGACGAGAGTGCATGGGCACACTGGTCTCGGCGGTGGACAGAGAGGCGCGACGCACTGAGCGGCGGGCTTTTGGCTTGGCGGATCGTCATGATGCGCCCAGCAGTGTGGCCGCATTGCACATCGCGACGGCGGCGGCCTGGTCGGCGCGATGCGCGGAGCGGCCAAAAGCTGGCCGCATTGCGCATTGCGACGGCGGCGGCCCGGTCGGCGCGATGCGCGGAGCGGCCAAACGCTGGCCGCAATGCGCATCGCGGCGGCGGCTGCTTTTGATCGTCTCGATGCGTCGAGCGGCGAGGTGGCCGCACTGCATCGCGCGACGACCGGGCCCGATAGGCGCGATGCGCGGAGCGGCGCGCCAGCCGCTGGGCGCATCGCGACAGCGGTCTGATCGAGTTTTTTTGTGTTTTTTTTTTTGTAATGTAAATTATTAGTATTTATCGAGTAACAAGGGACTAAACGTGAACGGATGGGAAAGGGCTTTTGGGCTAAGGCACGCACCATTGATAGACGTCAGGTGCTGCTAACGAATGCCCAGGATGAGTGACGGGGAAGGCAGCTGGCGAAAGCTATAGCTACTAGTAATCGCGTGAGTAATAGCTGATGGCGGGAAGTGAGTGAGTTCCGCTGGGGTCAAGCTTCTGTGCTTGGTTGGAACCGTAGCGGGCAGGGGGGTGTACAGCATGTAGGGTCGTGGTTTGGTTACGGTGGGCTGGAGGCTCGACGGTACAGGCGTGCATCAAACCTCTCTCCGCACGGTTTGGCGCGAGCGGGAAATCGGCCTGGTTTCAGGAATTTCAGGCGGGAGTTTCATGTGTTACCATTCGCGTGATTCTTTAGCTGTTGCTAGTGACTGATTCCGTGACCCCACTTACCAAGCCCGTCACGATACCCGATACAGTTACCGTACGCATTTTTTTTACCATTGACGTTACGGGGTCACATGATTGTTACTTGTGGCATATTTTCCCTTCTTTAATGCGGTCAAATTGTAGTTGTACACTCGGAAAGTTGGACATTCGTGTATACAGAGATCTGTTTTCTCGTTCCTGTCTCGGGCATCTCCCTCCGTCGGTCATTTTCTGCCCCTATGACCCATCCGTCTGTCCGTCTGTTTCTGTCAGGAGCGACACCCACCACGCGTCCATCCCGCCACACCTCGTTGTCCTCGTGTTGCGCATGTCTCCTCGCGACGAAGCGAGTGTCATGTGTGTTTCGTTTGCACTTCGCAAACCACGGTTTTCTTCGGTGCATAGCGGTCGAGGGTGCTAAGCGGATCTAACCGGTGCCAATCGCGTTACATCCTTTTATACCGCACCGCACGATCAGTCGGTGCACGGGGTTGAGCACCCTATCCCATCCCACTACCTCCTCTCACTCTCATCCCTGCCTAGGGTGAAACGCTCCGAAGATGGTTCTTGCAGTGTTTCTCTTTTAGCAGCAGCTTTCTTTATTAGTTGCCAATCAATGATAGAGTCGCTCCCGCGTCATGTAACGAACTCGCCATCGTTTCACCTGTCTGAATCCTTAGGTCTCCTCGACAGTATTCCCAGCACTTAGGATTAAAAAAAATCGTTAAATTCCACCTTCCCAATAGTCACCGCCATACTCGCACCGCGCCATGGCGAGCATAGTCGTCATAACGACGCAGGACGACGCTGCGCACGCCTTTCCGGAGTCCGCCATCGACGACCGTCTGCTCATCCCCGGCCTCCCCAACGAAATCGCCATTCGCTGCCTCGCCCGCGTGCCTTACATGCGCCGCCTCCGCCTCGGCCTCGTCTGCAAGTCCTGGCGCGACGCGTTTCGCGGCGGCACGATCTACAACATCCGGCAGCGGGAGAAGATTTTGGAAGAGCTTCTGTGCGTCTCGTTTCTCGACAAGGCGCACGGCCGGCTGGTTCTGAAAATCCTGGAAATGGGCGCCTCTTTCGACGGAGTACCGGCATACTAAGTGCAAGGTGCGCAGCTTCCACTGCCGCGCGTTCCGCCACAAGGTGTTTGTGTTCACGCGCGACGAGTGGGCGCTCGTCAAGGACAGCAATCTCGCCATGCTCGGCGTCACGCGCGCGGGCGCGGGAGGGGGAGGGGGAGGGGGTGAAGGCGGGGGAGGAGCAGCGGAGCGAGCGGAAGATGTGGGATTAGGGGGAGCGGTCGGGGGTGAGGGAGGAATGGGAAGGAGAGGTGGGGAAGGGGACGGGGAAGGGAGGGGAGGAGAAGGGGAAGGGGAAAGGGAAAGGGTGGCTGAAGCGGGAGGAAGAAGGGGAATCGCGGGTGGTGCCACTGAAGCTGGTCAGGGGGGTGGGCGGAACGGTGGTGGCGGAGGGGGTGGTGGAGGAGGATTAGTCGAAGTGTCCAACGTGGTTACGTGTTACGGGCGGTTTTACACGCTAGATCGCAACATGATACACGAGTACAACCTGGAAAGCAAGCAGTGGGAGCCGGTTGTGCCGCTGCCCTCACGCCACCGGTGGGCAGGTTCGTTCCGACAGTGCTACTTCCTGGTGTCCCTGGACGGCAAGCTCTGTGTGATTGACACGTGGCAAGAGAAGTGGATGTGGGTGACGGGGAAGGTAAAGGCGAATGCGAGCTTCTTGGAGTTCTCTGAAGCGACAGCTGAGGAAAGGGTGGATGGTGGTTTGCTGGGCGGCAGTAGGTCTGTGTTGGTGCAACAGATTTTGGGAGGAGACGGATTGCCAGATGTCAGTCTGCAAGTGGGTTGAGATACAGGAGGAGCCGAGTCTATATGCCTGTGGAGACTGATGGGAGAGAATTAGCAGGGTATGCTGTGTTTCAAGTGTAAAGCAGTTTGTACAGCGTTACCATTAGCACATAAATGCATCTGCAGCTACCGCAATGCTAATAACCTGGATAGGCTTGGAAATGGAGACTTCGGCTTTTCTTCTGAGCCAAAGAAGCCAGTGTATGTTCAATAAAGCTGAAGTTGACCCCGGTACAGCATTAAACACATCCCTGTTGTGGAGATTGAAATTTGGTGTCTATGGATCACCTAGCAATAAACTCTAAATGACATTGCAGTATATCGCAAGCTGGAGTTCCTAATCAGTCCACATCATGTTGACCCACTCTCAGTACATGGGCGGCATACCATAGGCGGGCATGGGAGGGGCACCGAACGCACCACCATCCATGCCTTGACCGGGCATGGGAGGCGCTGGCAACGCGAGTGGCATGAGCGTTTGGTACATGTTCTGCACAGCACACACAGACAGAAACCACCGTCACAAAACATCAAATGCCTTATACGGTTTTGATTCTGACAGAGCAAAGGAAGCGGAAAACGGTATAAACATATGATTTTTTCATGACTGAGCATGATGTCACGATTCGGGCAACTCACCGCTTGGGCAATGACCTCCTTCTCCTCCTTGGCCTTCTTCTCCACCTCCTTCTTGGCCGCCTCCTTGTCCTTCACCAGCTCGTCCACCTTGCTCGAGTACTCACGCAAAAACTGCCGCGCGCAAACACAGAGGAGTACACAGAGCACAGAGATAAGAGGACATGCACATGAAAACTCATACCCTTGAGCAAACCTGAAGCATACACAGCTCGGAGCACACACGTCAGGGAAAATGAGCAACTCGAAATAAGGCATGGGGCAGGAGGAGAAAAGAAAGAGGTGCGTTGCGGTACCTGGATGAGGTAGGGCATGACATAGTCCTGCATGTTGTTGAGCCATGCAAGCTCCACCACCACGTCTGGGCGCAGCAGGTCGTAGCACGTGTACAGGCATGCAGCGAAGCATTCCTTCTTGTCCTGCCACTCAACACGTGCACGCAGCACACACATGCCCATACCCAGACCCACACACTCCCACCCACGCCCATGCACACACCAACCCAACCCCATAGCCATAACCACACTCCAAACCACACCCATGCCCATACCCACATACCCACCCACAAAGAGGCAGCACGATGAGGAAATGGTGACAAGTCACAGCTCAATGGCACGCTGAGGGGGCCAAAAAGGGAGGGGCGAAAAGGTGGTGCATATGGGCCAGAAAGAGTGAAAAGGAGGGGAAGGGAAGGTACGGGAGGGAGTGGGAGGGAAGGGGTTGCTGCAGGCCGAGTTGAATTGACTCTGGAACCGAGCCTAGAGCTGTGAGACTGGGACAGTGAGAGTGGAGCAGTGGGCTCATGAACTGAGCATGAAAAATTGGGCCAGTGGGCAGAGCAGTGGGCTCACCTCCTCGAGGAAGTAGTTGAGCAGCTCCTCTGCAAGCTCCCTGTCGCCCGACTGGGAGGCAGTCTCCATGGCGTCCTTGTAGAGCTTGTCCGCCTTGGACAGCGCCAGCGACTGCCGCCAGCGCCCACTCATCTTGTAGATGAACGCCGCTATGCGCCTGAACTCCAGCAGCTCGTGCTTCTCGATCTGCGAGGAGGGGAGCGAGGGGGGAGAATAGAGGGGTGGGGGGGAGGGGGAGGGGGAGGGGGGGAGCGGAGAGAGAAAGGGGCGATGCAGAGACAGGCAGATAGGAGGTGAGGCGAGGATGGTGACAATGGAGATGTATGAATGAGAACAATGAAGATTGCAACGGCAAAGGGGAAGTGTTAAGTGACAGGAGTGCGTACAAGATTGAAGGGGCACAGCTACATTCAAGTCTTCTGCAATGTATCTGGAAACTGCTCAGGAAGTGCGGGGTTACCCTCTGGGCGAGGGAGATCTGGTCGAAGTTGTCGTGCATGTCGATGGACTCGCGCAGGCGGTCGTAGTCCTCCTCCTCGATGTACAGGTTGTTGAGCGCCTCGTTCACCGCCGCCACGTTCACACTCTGCACCGTCACCAGGTATGGCTTCACCAGCGCCAGGTTGCCCGACTGCAGAGGGGAGAGGGAGGGAGGAGTAGGAGGGGTGGTGGGTGGGGAGGAACAGGAACCGGCAGGGTCAGTTTCTCAGTCTACACGTCACCACATCACTAGTGACAGGTTGCCAACATGTGAGGGTGGAAATGACACATTGAAGTGAACACTGAGGGTACCAGAACCAAGAATCA